ATGTTCCATGAGCACTTGAGAAGAAAGTGTATTCTGTTATTTTTGGATGGAATGTCCTATAAATATCAGTTAAGTCCATCTTGTTTAATGTATCATTTTAAGCTTGTGTTTCCTTATTTATTTTCATTTTGGATGATCTGCCCATTGGTGAAAGTGGGGTGTTAAAGTCCCCTACTGTGATTGTGTTATTGTCGATTACCCCTTTTATGTCTGTTAGCATTTTTGCCTTATGTATTGAGGTGCTCCTGTGTTTGGTGCATAAATACTTACAATTGTTATATCTTCTTCTTGGATTGATCCCTTCATCATTATGGAGTGTCCTTCTTTGTCTCTTCCAATAGTCTTTATTTTAAAGTCTATTTTGTCTGATATGAGAATTGCTACTCCAGCTTTCTTTTGGTTTCCATTTGCATGGAATATCTTTTTCCATCCCCTTACTTTCAGTCTGTATGTGACTCTAGGTCTGAAGTGGGTCTCTTGTAGACAGCAAATATATGGGTCTTGTTTTTGTATCCATTCAGCCAATCTGTGTCTTTTGGTGGGAGCATTTAGTCCATTTACATTTAAGGTGATTATCGATATGTATGTTCCTATTCCCATTTTCTTAATTGTTTTGGGTTCGTCATTGTAGGTCTTTTCCTTCTCTTGTATTTCTTGCCTAGAGAAGTTCCTTTAGCAGTTGTTGGAGAGCTGGTTTGGTGGTGCTGAACTCTCAGCTTTTGCTTGTCTGTAAAGGTTTTAATTTCTCCTTCAAATCTGAATGAGATCCTTGCTGGGTAGAGTAATCTTGGTTGTGGGTTTTTCTCCTTCATCACCTTCGGTATGTCCTGCCACTCCCTTCTGGCTTGCAGAGTTTCTGCTGAAAGATCAGCTGTTAACCTTATGGGGATTCCCTTGTGTGTTATTCTTCCCTTACTGCTTTTAATATATTTTCTTTGTATTTAATTTTTGATAGTTTGATTAATATGTTTCTCAGAGTGTTTCTCCTTGCATTTATCCTGTATGGGACTCTCTGTGCTTCCTGGACTTGACTATTTCCTTTCCCATATTAGGGAAGTTTTCAAGTGTAATCTCTCCAAATATTTTCTCAGTCCCTTTTTCTCCTCTTATTCTTCTGAGACCCCTATAATTCTAATGTTGGTGCATTTAATGTTGTCCCAGAGGTCTCTGAGACTGTCCTCAATTCCTTTCATTCTTTTTTCTTTATTCTGCTCTGTGGTAGTTATTTCCACTATTTTTTTTTTTTTTTTTTTTTTTTTTTGGCGGTACGCGGGCCTCTCACTGCTGTGGCCTCTCCCGTTGCGGAGCACAGGCTCCGGACGCGCAGGCTCAGCAGTCATGGCCCACGGGCCCAGCCGCTCCGCGGCATGTGGGATCTTCCCGGACTGGGGCACGAACTCGTGTCCCCTGCATCGGCAGGCAGACTCCCAACCACTGCGCCACCCCTATTTCCACTATTTTATCTTCCAGGTCACTTATCCATTCTTCTCCCTCAGTTATTCTGCATTTGATTCCTTCTAGAGAATTTTAAATTTCACTTATTGTGTTGTTCATCATTGTTTGTGTGCTCTTTAGTTCTTCTAGGTCCTTGTTAAACATTTCTTGTATTTTCTCCATTCTATTTCCAGATTTTGGATCAACTTTACTATCATTACTCCGAATTCTTTTTCACGTAGACTGCCTGTTTGCTCTTCGTTTGTTAGGTCTGGTGGGTTTTTACCTTGCTCCTTCATCTGTTGTGTGTTTCTCTGTCTTCTCATTTTGCTTATCTTACTGTGTTTGGGGGTCTCCTTTTCACAAGCTGCAGGTTTGTAGTTCTCGTTGCTTTTGGTGTCTTTCCCCAGTGGCTAAGGTTGGTTCAGTGGGTTTTGTAGGCTTTCTGGTAGAGGGGACTAGTGCCTGTGTTCTGGTGGATGAGGCTGGATCTTGTCTTTCTGGTGGGCAGGACTGTGTCTGGTGGCATTTTTTGGGGTGTCTTGGAACTTATTTTGATTTTACACAGCCTCTCTGCTAATGGATGGGGTTGTGTTCCTGGCTTGCTTATTGTTTGGCACAGGGTGTCCAGCACTGGAGCTTGCTGGTCGTTGAGTGGAGCTGGGTCTTAGCGTTGAGATGGAGATCTCTGGGCGAGCTCTTGCCGATTGATATTATGTGGGGCTGGGAGGTCTTTGGTGGACCCATGTCCTGAACTCGGCTCTCCCACCTCAGTGGCTCAGGCCTGACACCCGGCTGGAGCATGAAGACCCTGTCAGCTACACAGCTTTTGGGAAGTCTGAGGTCTTCTGCCAGCATTCAGTAGATGTTTTTCAGGAGCTATTCCTCGTGTAGATGTATTTTTGATGTATTTGGGCGGAGGAAGATGATCTCCACGTCTTAGTCCTCTGCCATCTGGAAGCAATGCCCCCTAGTCTTCATGGACCAAGTTTCTCTTAATAAATTTAATGGTTTTCTCAACCATATGTTCTCATGCTGCCTTCGCCTGGTCCTGCCTCCAGAGAGATCTTCCCTTAAGTATCAAAAGTATCTCTTAATCCTGCTCATTTCCATGGGGTGAGGGAAGGATTTAACTAATTGACTCTGAGAGGCGAGTGAGTTCACTTTCTCACCTTGATGTATCAGTATTTGATGATACTGATGACCCAGACAAATTTCTGAATGGTGAAAATTCAGGCAACATAACAATAATAAACAGCCTGGGGTTGTGAAGTTCTTTTTCTCTGTATTTGATCCTTTTTTGAAAATCGAGGCAGTGAATCACTTATATAATGACGAATGAAAATGAGGGGAGAGAAAAGAGTCTAGGATCCATGACTGGTCCTGGACGATTGATAACACTCATCACCTTGGGATATGTCGAAGGAAGAACAGCTACAGGGTGGACCATGGCACGTCAGCTGAAATGTCTCGGGGGCATTCATGATAGGTGTCCGTTAGGTGGTTGGGTTTATCAAGTTGCACCTCAGGTGGGAGGTCTTAGCAAGGGACATTGAGCTAGGACCCTTCAGTAAAGGATGACTTCATGGGCTATGGTGAAATCACCTTTGAGGCAATGACAGCCCACTTAAGGAGCAACCATAGTAAAGAGTCTCCAAGAGGCAGAGAGCCAGGAAGATGGGGTCAATGTTTGCTCACTGATCTGCCTGTTCTCGCCTTCCTTGGCACTCTCAGCTGCTTTGGGTTTACTGATGACACCCTTAAAGAGAACATATTAGTCAATGACTGTAGCTGTTGTGAAATGCTCTTTTAACGTAACCACATAAGAAATCATTTGCTTATATCATTTTGTGACTGCCTGATTGTGAAAACATGTCATTAGCGATGTCAGTCTGTCTGAAGTTTTAAATGGCTATAATGCGTAACCTGGATCTTTATGTCTACAAAATGCTTTAAAGCCTATTTCATTGTTCTCGGCTAGAACTGAGGCAAAATTAGTACAAGTGGGAAACTTAGCATAGCTAGATCTTAGCACAAACTGTTGTATGCAGAATGCCCTTTTACGTACCCTACTAACCCATCCATTCCAAGTAAGGTCTCTATTTAGCTAGCTGCAGCCACCGCCGGGGTTGGGCAGTCACCTGGGACTGAAATAGGACTGGGAGAGAAGTGAAACACAGGGAAAAATATAAGCTGGCTGGGGAGATGGTGGAATCAGCATGTGACTGGTTCGAGCCTCCGAAGGAATCCAGTATTGGGGTGTATAGGTGGGTCAGGGCCTGACCTTAAAACATTTTGGGGGCCCAAGTTGAAGATAACTTGTTTGAATTCAGCGAAATACTTAACCATTGTTGTTCTGCATTTTGTTTTCACTGAGCTAAAACCCCATTTTTTGAAAGAAGAGTTAAAAGTTTCAAATCAGATCCTCCAAACTTAATTATATCTGTTTTATCAGAGCATCCTATTTTATGGAAATATCTGCACAACAGTCACTCTCATGTTACCTGATTTTTAATTCCCGATGGCTCTTAAATCATTTTAGCCTTGTATCATGTTCATTTCTCTATGTCTACATTTTGTGTTGGGTTGTGAGCTCCCTAAGGGCGGGGACAGTATTTGTGTATCTTCGCATCTCTGGTGGGCGGCCCCTGAGCACTAGATATTTGTTAGTAAGCCCATCAGTGACAGAGGGGGATGACATGGAAGGTGGGTGTGTGGCACGGCAGTGGCTGGGACCTGAGCATCCCCGAGGCCGCTGTGTGCCCTTCGTGTCCAGGTGCGAATTCTCCTACTGAGACCGTGTGAGTGGCGGCTGGTACACTGAGTCCTTCAAAGTATCAACAAAGTCAGACATCAGGCAAACTATTTGTGGAGGAAAGAATGAGCGTAGGGAGCACAACGGAAAGTCGCAGCAGTGGATGAATCAAACATTTCACACTCCATTGTTGGCTACTTAGGGTTTCTACACCGTTTAGCATCTGACGAGACCGGATTTCACGTGATGAATATCTTCTTTTTGGTTTGTGTGTCTTCATGACAAGAGGTTGGTCTAAGATGGAAGTCTGTGGGGAGTAAAATCACCACCTGTCATTTGTAGATTGTAACCTGAAACTTTGTACTGAAGACTGTTGGCTGGAGTAACTCAGACTCACCCCAAAGCTAAGGTTACTTATTTCCTCTAATACAGAACTGCCTTCTCTGAGAAGCTGGGTTTTGATCAGTATGTAAAAACCTAAGAATTGGAGTTTGAATAGTGCGTAAGGTATAGGCATCATTTTGCATCATCACTGGATGCATGGGATTCTGTCGAGCTAGTACATGTGACAGGCACAGTTGTTTCTGACCCTTGAGTTAGTGAATTGCTTGGGATATTGGAGTGGAATAAACTGAATGTTCTAACTAGATCTCAACAAGCAAGGAGTATGCAATGTTTATTTTAAAAGCTATACTTTCTTATTACCACAATGCCTAAGTAAATTAATTAAAAGTTTTTTATTCAGCTTAAGTTGCGTTAGTATTCAGTCCATGTAGAGTTCTAACTAATCTTCAACCCACTTGGGTTTTAGGTATTAAAAGAGGACCAACAAGGCATGATGTTTTGGATGGCTCACGGGAAGGCTTCAGGGATCTCGTCAGACCTCATGAGGAATCAAGGAAGAGAGAGAAAGGCCAGAAGGTTGGTGTGTGAAAATATTGTTTTAAACTTTCCGATGCTGAGGCATCATGATGTTCTGCTCTGGGTTAATGAAACATAAACTCCTCTGCCCAGCTTGTATTTGATTTTAAAAAATTAATTATGGGTGGATGTTGGGAAACTCCGACAATAAAACCAAGAACGTTGGTCACATTCAGGGCAGAGAGTTACTATTGGTGGAGCAGGCCTCCTCTTGCCCCTTTGCCAGCGCATTTCTCGCTTGTAAAAATGCCGCCAGCTTCCCTCGAGCAGGGAAGGTTGGTCGTGCCAGCAACTGCTGTTGTTCTGTAATCTGAATAAACAGTCACTAGGTAGGAGGTGAAGAACCCAACCATCTTCTGTTTGTGAGCTAATCATGGTTTGACCCGAAGCCATCAGAGGGAAAGGTTTTTGTACTGAGGCTCGGGCACCCACTTCTCTGTGGCTGCAGCCTCGGAACCTGGCTCTTTCTCTGAGGCTGTATGGCGCTCTCATTGCACTGGAGGCTTACTCGGATAACGTGGGGAGGACTTTACATTTGTTGATTCTTCAGCATCTACTCTCATTGCTGAACTTTTGAATTAGCCACTCATTATCTTGGTGCAGCTTTTGTACCTGCCCCGTGGGTGACCTCGGTAGAGAGCTGGTGCCCTGCGGCTGCATTTAGGTTTTGTTGCCCTGTGTTCCAGTCTTCTTCCTAGTTGCAGCATGGCCACTTAATGTTTTTACTTTGGAAAAATTCAGAAAAAAACCTGTTTGGCATTCATTCCACTGATACTTACGAAGTGTGCGGTGCTATCTGTGTCCTGCTTCTCCGGATGCGTTCCGTCAGTGCTGAAGGGAGTGATCACTGCTGGTTCGGTGTGAAAGAATCGCCTGGAGGACTTTTTTTCCCCAAACTCCTAATGTGCTTCTCACCACCCCCTCTTCCCCCTTTGGTAAACATAAGTGTGTTTTCTACGTCTGTGAGTGTGCGTTTTGTAAATAAATTCATTTGTGTCATGTTTTAGATTCCACATGTAAGTGGTATCATATGATATTTGTCTGTCTCTGTCTGACTTCATTTAGTATGACAATCTCTAGGTCCATCTGTGTTGCTGCAAATGGCATTATTTCATTCTTTTTTATGGCTGAGTAATATTCCATTGTATATATGTACCACATCTTCTTTATCCATTCATCTATTGATGGACATTCAGGTTGCTTCCATGTCTTGGCTATTGTAAATAGTGCTGCTATGAACGTTGGGGTGCATGCATCTTTTCGAATTAGAGTTTTCTCTGGATATATGCCCAGGAATGGTAACTCTTTTTTTAGTTTTTGAGGAACCTCCACACTGTTTTCCATAATAACTGCACCAGTTTACATTCCTACCACCGGTATAGGAGGGTTCCCTTTACTCCACACCCTCTCCGGCATTTATTACTTGGGGACTTTTTGATGATGGCCATTCTGACCAGTGTGAGGTGATACCTCGTTGTAGTTTTGATCTGCATTTCTCTAATAACTAGCGATGTTGAGCATCTTTTCATGTGCCTGTTGGCCATCTGTGTGTCTTCTTTGGAGAAATGTGTATATAGGTCTTCTGCCCCTGGAGGACTTTTTAAATGTGCAGATTCTCTGGTCCTACTTGAGACCCTCTGAGTTGGCATTTCCCAGGTGATGTTTATTTTACATCACAGCAATGAGCTGTGAAAGCCCCACATGGAGTAGAATCTCCTTCACAAGAAGGAAACCGGAACTCAGGGCAGAAAATTCACCGTGGGTACCACGCCTCCCTCAGGGCAGAAGGAACAGAACCTGGATCTACTGTCTTCCTTGTGGTCTTCTTCCTAATCCATTTCTTATCCCCATTCACTGCACAGCCTTTTCTCTGATGAATTGAGGACTCGTCACGCCTGAGGGCAGTGGGCCCCAGCGTTGCCCCACATTGCAATCACCTGGGGATCTGAATTTGGTTCAGATTCCTGGCTCACACCCGCAGACAGCCTGATGTCATTACTATGGGGTGCCTCTTGGGCACTAGGATTTTTTTTAAAACTCCTGAGCTAAGCCTAACATGAAGCAAAGTTTGGAAAGCACTTTTGTGCCTCAGGGACTTTGTCTAGCGTAGTTCAAACAAGTAATTTATCCTGGACGAAGTTCTGTTTGTTTCTAAACACGCCTCGTATAAACTGATTTTATTGTTTAGACTTGTGAAAAACAAAGACAAAAACCTAAAATCCTGATTTGTTTGCTTATGGGATGAGCATTTTTAAATTTAGATACCAATATAGAGATGAGCCGTCATGGTTTATCATTGCACAGGTTAAAACAAAGGACAATAGAAATTTCTTAGAATGCAATTTAAAATTTTAAAGATATAGCTTCCTGGCAGCTTGAGATCTTGGAGTATGGGTGTGGGGAGTGGAGTTTATATTGTTATGTTATAGCAAGTCAGCAAAAACACTAAGTTTAGTTGACTGGTATTAAAAGTCTACCATGGAGCTGCACAAGGATTGTGAATTGGTGAATTAAATACAGGTCTCTTACAAATATGTTAGTCTTGAGGGTTATGATAGTATCCAGTCATTCCCTTTTTTCCCTACCAAAACTGAGGTCTTACCTGCTTGCTTTTGTTCCTTATTAGATTTCAAGACAACCTGTGTTAAACTGAAATTTCAGACTTTTTAACATAGTCATGTTTTTTGTTTTTGTTTTTGTTTTTGTTTTCTGTACGCGGGCCTCTCACTGTTGTGGCCTCTCCCGTTGCGGAGCACAGGCTCCGGACGCGCAGGCTTAGCGGCCATGGCTCACGGGCCCAGTCGCTCCGCGGCATGTGGGATCTTCCCGGACCGGGGCACGAACCCGTGTCCCCTGCATCGGCAGGCGGACTCTCAACCACTGTGCCACCAGGGAAGCCCCATAGTCACGTTTTTATGTATAAGTATATATAAGGGATTAGATTCCATCAAGCACAACAATTGTTGACATTTCCTAAAAAATATCTTGTAATTGGATTTTAATGTTGAGTAAAGCAACTTTACAGGAAATATCTTTCATCACCTAATAATTAAAGCACATGCCTCTACTGAAATGGAGAACTGTTGGGTCTAGAGTATAGGATTGCATTTTTACATTTTCACATGGGAGCTAGCGTCCATGCTGTTTCCGTCAATATGAAAACGGTTTGAAGCAGATGTGTCCCAGGACCCTAGTGATCTTTTTAATCTTAAACTTGACGTAGCACCTACGGGTAATGTCCTTTCTGGGCAGCCCTGCAGAGCAGGCCTGTGAAGCTGTGAATCCTAAGTTCTGTGCTGTGTAACAGTGCAGCGTGGAAAGCGGGCAGCCTGTGGGTAGGGACCACAGCCTGGGTAGGAGGTGTGGCCTGGGAAGGATGCTGGTGCATCCAAAAAAGATGCTGAAATCAGCCCCAGCAGGTTCTGGGTGAACTCTTCTCATTCTTGGTTTTCTATAGTTTTGCTGAAACTCTGCCGGAGTGTTGCTTTTCTCATCAGTCTGCTGCAGGGTCGCAGGTCTTCGGGTCTTCCATCTGCTTTGGAGAAGTCTCATTTCTCTTCCTTCCACTTCTGGAAATTCACTCACATGTGTTACCTGAGCCTTCTGTATCCCATGCCTCATGATTTTTCTATATTTTTCTATATTTCTCTCCTTTTTAGCTCCTTATTTCGTTCTGGGTATTTTCTGCTGATTTCCCTTTCACCTCTCCCTCTTTATATGATGGGTGTGCTCTCATGATAAACCTATATATTGCATTTGAAAACTTCATTATTGTATTTTTCAGTTTTCGTTATTCTATTTGGATTTTTAAAAATTTCCAGCTTTCTGCCAAAATTATTAATCTTGTCTTTTATTTCTTTATGCATAATTAGCATATTTATTTTGAAATCTAAAACGGGTAGCTCCGTTTTCTGGCTCCCTTAGTTTCTGTCTTTATTATCTGTTTTCTCTTAGTTTTCTGTCGTATGTTCCTCTAATATGCTTTATTATTTCTGGCATGTCTTCCTACCAGGAATTGAGATGATCTGAGGTTGAGCCTCTCTCTCTTTGAGGCCAGCTCTCCCCTTGCTCACCTGAGGGTTTCTCTTCCTGCTGTGATTCACTGTCTCATCAGCTCAGCAGTGTCTCCGAATCGTGGGTTTGTGTCCGTCCAGCTTTACTAACTGTTCACGATGGGGAGGTTGTTCCGAACTACTTAGTCGATCCTTCCTGGAAATAATGGGTGAATTTTAATGGCCATTAAAAGTTTTTTTTTCTCTAATTAGAGATGGGATAAATCCTTCTCTGAGAAAAGAACAATGAGAGACCAAGTCAGCAGAATTTTTCAGATGAACGTGCAAGTCATTGGTTGCAAAAGACACACTAACCATCTCTTAAAGAGGGAAAACAGATATAATTCAATAAAGAGTTACAAAATCTCAGAGCTATAATTTCCATTAGAGATTATTTGGTTTAGTACCCACTTTTAGTGGGAAGAGTCATTTTGTACATCATTGGGAAACTATCTTTTTTAGACTTATTACTTTTTTTTTTTTTTTGTGGTACACGGGCCTCTCACTGTTGTGGCCTCTCCCGTTGCGGAGCACAGGCTCCGGAGGCGCAGGCTCACGGGGCCAGCTGCTCTGCGGCATGTGGGATCCTCCCGGACCAGGGCACGAACCCGTGTCCCCTGAATCGGCAGGCGGACTCTCAACCACTGCGCCACCAGGGAAGCCCAAGACTTATTACTTCTAACATATGCTTATAAATTCATTGAACCTTTTATATTTTGAGGCTCCAGTTAAGCAATATCATCACCTCCATAGTCTGAGCTTATAATACATGGGTCCTTGACAAGAAAATCTATTTCTGCCATCTTTTCACAGGGAGAAATATAATATGTTATGACAGATCATAGCCTGTCTTGTTAGTTGCTTGTTTAATATTGTCAGACATAGAACCTGAAAAAGGTAGATACAACATTAATGCTAGTGATACAGTGAACGCATATGAAAATGTGG